TCCCACCTCGGCGCGGATGGGAGAGGGAGCAGCGAGCTCCGCGCGCGCCGGGCGGCCGCTCGCCTTGCGCAGCCGGCGAGCAGCCTCTGCTGGAGGCAGCCCGCTGTGCGCGCCCCCGCAGCCGCTCCGGCTGGAGATCCGCGTCCTCGGCAACGGCGCCAGCTCCGCAGCATTCCCGCACGGATGTCCCTGAGCACGGGGCTGGCGGGTTGTGCTTGTAGGGTGTCCTCAGAGCACCCGGCTCTGCGGTGTCCCCATGTTCATACCTAGTGCCCGCTGCAGACACGGGTCAGGAGCGGGCTTGCATGAGCTGAGCCCCAGCAGGCTCGCGATCCATCGCCTGTGGAATACACATTTGGTGTTTCTAACCTTTAAGCCTTGCTGCTTTGGCAGCCAGCTCTGTGTCACCACCATCCTCGGTGACTCTGGAGCGTACCCGGCACAGCCCATCCTGGGAGCTGCTCCTGTCCCTGCCAAACCTCAGCAGCAATGGGCAGAGGAGCCAGCGCCGGTGTTTTCCCAGGGAATGCTCAAAGAGCGGCACTTCAAAGGCTCCAGCGTGTCCGCGTTCCCTCCGGCTCTGCCGGCCCAGGGCTTGGTGCTGGGAATTGCTTGTGTCAGCAGCTGGAGCTTGGAGGGATGCCGGGGCGGCCGGCCAGGATCAGCACCAACTACCCTGCCCTTCTTGCCAGCCCCAGAGCATCCTCCTCTGCTGCAACGTGCCCCTGGGTGGCACTCCGGGGACACAGGCTGCAGTCCAGCATGTGCCAGCAGCAGGCTGCATGAATTCGGCATCACAAGGAATCTATGTGAACCAAGAGCTGTGGATGTTGTGCGATATGTGCGGAAATCAAGGCTCATCAGGGCCTGTTGGTATCAGAAACAGCAGCGTTACCCGTGAATGCCCAGGAAGAGCAACAGCGGTTCATGGGATTGCCCCTGGCCTGTTTTATTTTCTTTTCCTTTCTAAAATAGCTGTGTTACATAAAAAGAAATAATTCCCATCTCGGCGGTGGGTGAATTGTTCAGATGGGCCTGTTTGCTAATGCGATTGACTCCAACCAACAGCACAGGTCGAGCTGTAATTACAGGAAAACAATCAAATCTCTATCTGGGCTCAAACCCTACCGGTCCTGCCGCTTTCGGAGCTGGAGCAGAACCCGTCGGGCAGCTCGCACCGAGCTGTGCCTCCTTTCTGCTGCCGGGGCAAAGAATCGCAAACCAGTAAAGCCAGTCGGACTGCAAAGGGGAAAAAAAAAATTATGGCATATTGTCTGTGCAAGTTCACCCACACGGCTCGGACCTGCTGCTGCGCCCCAGAGCGCGGCGGGAGCGAGCGGGGCGGCGGGGGC